CTCATAAGCTGAGGGTACAATTTTGTTCCGATAGGAAACAAAATATATAATTGTACCTTTAAAGGTGCCAAATTGGTCCTTTAGGATACAATTTTGCACCCAAATGTGCTATAAAAGGTACAAAAATGTACCTTTTAAATCTAAATCTGAATTTTTGTACCTTTATAGCCCATTTGGGTACAAAATTGTACCCCAAGGACTAATTTGAGACCTTGAAAGGTACAATTATATATTTTGTTCCCTCTAGGAACAAATATGTACCCTCTTTGTACCCTTTTTTCTGACAGTGTATATACATACAAACAATATTATTTTTAATTATTATAATTTTTTATATAATTATAAAAATAAATTTTTGATTGTGTTAAATCTTGTTGTCATATTTATTCCATTTTGACTTTAGATAGATTAGTGCTGTTGTTAAAAGCAGTTTCTTTCAGAAAGTCAAGAAGATGCTTTTTTAAGATAAGACCTTGAAACTGTTAGTCCTGCATTTACTACCTCAAAGTTGGATTATAGCAACTCTTTATTACCTGTGTTTGCCTATTTCGACTATGAATTGACTGTGGATGGTTAGAAACATAGCAGTCAAGCTATTGACAATCACTAAAAAGTGTCTGCACGTTACTCCTGTGCTTGCCTCTTTTCATTGGTTAGCGGTCAAATTATTTAGCTTTTTGTTCATAAAACTTCACATTCACATCCTGCTCAGTATATCAGTGATCTTCTTGTCCCATTCAATGCCCAAAGATCCTTATGTTATTCCAATTAGCTTCTTCTCTCTTCCTTATTCTCGCAACAACACTAAAGGTCTGAGATTTGACTGTGGAACACCCTTCTGTTATGAAATCTTTCCTATAATAATAATAATAATAATAATAATAATAATAATAATAACAACAACAACAACAACAACAACAACAACAACAACAACAACAGCAACAACAATAATAGTAATAATAATAATAATAATAATAATAATAATAACAACAACAAAAACAACAACAACAATAATAATAATAATAATAATAATAAACATTACTGATAATATGAAAAAAAAATAACAACTATAAATGTATATTTTTATTTATGGATATTTACACGATTATGTAAAATTATTTTATATAACTATAAATGCTTTTATTTGTGTATATACATAGAGTATAGAATAGAGTAGTGGTTAAGCGTGTCGACGTATAGCACGATGGTGCTGACGGCGACCTGAGTTCAATTCCCGGCTCAAGGTCCTTTGCCGACTCTTCCCCTCTCTCTGCTCCCAATACTTTTCTGTCTGTAACCTCCACTGTCCTATCCCAATTAAAGGTGAAAAAACCCTATAAATATATTATATATACAATTGAAGTCAGAATTATTAGCCTCCCCTTTGAATATTTGGTTCTTTTTAAATATTTCCCAAATGATGTTTAACAGAGCAAGGAAATTTTCACAGTATGTCTGATAATATTTCTTCTTCTGGAGAAAGTCTTATTTGCTTTATTTCGGCTAATAAAAGCAGTTTTTAGGTTTTTTAAAAACTATGTTAAGCTCAATATTATTAGCCCTTTTAAGCTCTGTTTTATTTTATTCATTTATTTATTTTTATTATTTTTTGATAGTCTACAGAACAAACTATCCTTTTACAATAACTTGCCTAGTTACCCTAACCTGCCTATAACCTAATTACCCTAGTTAAACCTTTAAATGTCACTTTAAGCTGTAAAGAAGTATCTTGAAAAATATCTAGTCAAATATTATTTGCCATCATCATGGCAAAGATTAAATAAATCAGTTATTAGAAATGAGTTATTAAAATTATTGTTTAAAAATGTGTTGAAAAATCTGCTCTCAGTTGAACAGAAACTGGGGAAAGAAATAAACGGGGGGCTAATAATTCTGACTTCAACTGTACATAAAAAAACAACAACAGAAGTTGCAACCAAAGTGCTGTACTCAGATCTAAAAACAACATAAAAGCAAGAAAAAAAAAAGAAAAAAAACACTAAATAAAAGCATAAAGAATACAAACATGTTTTAGGCAAGATTTCAAAACAGAAGGGTGTTCCACAGTCAGATCTCAGACCTTTAGTGTTGTTGTGAGAATAAGGAAGAGAGAAGAAGCTAATTGGATTAACAAAAGGATCTTTGGGCATTGTATGGGACAAGAAGATCACTGATATACTGAGCAAAATGTCCATATAAAGTTTTGTGAACAAAAAGCTAAATTTTAAAATCAATCTGGAATTTGACCGCGAACCAATGGAGAGAAGCAAGCACAGGAGTAAAGTGCAGACACTTTTTAGTGATTGTCAATAGCTTGGCTGCTGCGTTTCTAATAATCCACAGTCAATTTATAGTCAAAATAGGCAAACAGAGGTATAAAGAGTTGCAATATTCCAACTTTGAGGTTGTAAATGCAGGACTAACAGTTTCAAGGTCTTATCTTAGAAAGCATCTCTTTGACTTTGGCAACAGATCTTAGCTGAAAGAAACTGCTTTTAAAAACAGCGCTAATCTATCGAAAGTTAAATTAGAATGAATACAACAACAAGATTTTTAACACAATTAAAAATATATTATTATAATTATTTTTAAATATATTATTAGTTTAAAATAATATTATTTACTACAGTTATATGTAAATACAGTTATACTTAATATTATAAATATAAGTTATATTTAAATACAAAGTTTATATAACATGAAAATGTAATAGATTCATATTTAAATAAATATATAATTACACAGTTATATTATTTTATAAGTATAGCATAATTGCACTAAGTAAATGTAAATATTAGTAATTCTAATCTTCATAAACATACTGTGCCTTGCTGTCATTTTGCTGCTTTTATTTATTATTTAATGTTTATTATATTATATTATATTATATTTTGTTATTATATATTATATTGTTAAAATATAATATATTAATTTATAATGTTTATTATAGTATATATTTTTATCTTAATACAAATAATAACTAACTTTAAATGTCCCATCATGAGTGTTTATCAATAAACATATACAGTACTTAAACCCTGCGTTAAGGTTGGTGCTTTTGTATTCTCCTAGGATAAGAAAGATAAAAAAAGTATGTAATTTATGCGCTTTTCAGGCAGATGGCAAGGTAAGGTGAGGTACAGAAAAAGATATATTATCGCTGTATATTTTGGAGACATGATTTTATGCTGCCTTTTCTCACACGCTTTAAATAGGGAAGATATGTGCGCATTTCTCTCTCTCTCTTAGCCACGGGTGTTTGGTATTCGTGTCTGTTCTGAGGATGATAAAGTTTCACCGGTGTGTGCTAACTAGGCTTACGCAGTAACGTGATGGGATAAAGATGGAGGGTGTTTGCGGGACACGAACGCTGAATCCACTCTCCCACCCACTTGGACTGGGCGATTGATTGCAGAAGCGAAATCAAAACGCGCGCGGTGGAACAACAGAGGGCGCGAGACGCAGAGCTATACAGCGGTACGCGCATGCAGAGACGCCGGCGGAATGTTAACCAGCCCCGGTGCAGCAGCAGCAGCAGGAGCGCCGCGTCGAGATCTGGTGCTGCTCCCCCGTGCGCATCCTCCTCTGCCGTGACCAAACGAACTGAGATTGACCAGGGAAACCCTCCTACGTTAGTTTTAAATCATCCCGGCCCACGAATTAAAACGCATGTTTGAGACTGAGAGCGCGGGATGGAGAGTGTAGACGGAGAAAGGGTTCCTCCTTTTGTTGTGTGACTGTAGTATTACGTTCAGTCAGTGCTGCATTGCGCTCGCGCATCCGCGTGGCTACGGGGCAGCCCGTGCTGGGACCAGAGAGAGAGAGAGAGAGAGAGAGAGCGTGTGCCTGTGCGTGTGTGTGCGATATATGCTCATTGTTCACAGGATGAGCAAAAAGCACTGCCGCATTCAGACAATGAAAACACTCCTCGAGTCAGAAACAGACCTGCAAAACAAGACAATAAGAATAAATTACAGGGTAAAGCACGTGTAGATATTAATAACACAGTAATCAAGGAACGAAATAACACTTTACGATATGCAAAAAATAATAATAACTTATCTATCTATCTATCTATCTATCTATCTATCTATCTATCTATCTATCTATCTATCTATCTATCTATCTATCTATCTATCTATCTATCTATCTATCTATATATATATATATATATATATATATATATATATATATATATATATATATATATATATATATATATCTGTCTATCTGTATATGTTTATTTTGCACCTTCATGTGTTTGCACATTTACGTTTCAAACACATTATTTGCTGCCCAAGGACCTTGACCAAATATAACAACCATGTTCAGTATAATTGTTCAACAAACTAAAAGCAACCAAACATTCTAAACCAAAATAGGTTTTGGTGAAGGCCAGTTATATACGTTATCAATGTCAGGTTTGTTGTAAGGCCCCAGTGACCCTGACATGTTGTGTTTCCTACTAAACAGCTTCTAATCACCGGGTACAGAGCTGGTATCTTTACTGAAACAATATTTGTATAAAAAATTATTTTCAATAATTGTTTTGGTTGTTTTATTACTTTATTTGCTTTATTTCTAATAGTTACACAATATATCCCTAAACAATAATTAATTTATATAATAAATTCAAGCTTTTTTTAAAACGGTTTCAGGTAAATGGCTTTGTCAACAACTTATTTTGCTATGTTTGATTCATATTACCGTAAGTTCAAGTAAGATGTTTTGTAAGACTGTAATATGTTTTATTTGATGTTTTATTTGTTTTTTAATGCCTGTCCATATTCAGGATATGCTCATTTAAATTTATTTAGTTCTGTTTTGTTTTTATTTTTCTTACAAGTGCTTTATGTGGCTTTTCTAGTTGTCTAGTTGACTGTGTTTTTAGCTTCTGAGAAATTTTGTTTTGTGGTCGTATGCAAACACACCCCCTGTATTTGCGCTTTTAGACTGGTTAAAAGGAAAGCGCGAGCTCCTTCGAGACACTCTCGGTCTCCCGTTTCATCTGAACGGTTGAGTTACGTAGCGTAGTGTTGCAGTGAACGGAGGGGGAAGAGAGAGGGAGAGGTTGAGACAGAGCGAGTGAGAGGGAGAGAGAGAGAGGGAGAGACTGCAGCATCATTTGAGGGACGTTCACATGCAGTGCAGTAGAACGTGCAGGTGAGGGGAGGAGGAGAATGCGGGACTTTTTCCTCAAACACTTCACACACATCCACCACGGACTCCGGAGGAATAACTAAAGGCTTTTGTTGCTACTTTATCCTGCTCTCCATCTTTCCATAAGTGGCTAATTTGCGTGCTCTGGGAAGTCGAACTGAAAAGCTTTTCTCTTTGTCAAGTTCACCGTAAAGGAATCTATAAGAGCTTGGCACGCGCGCGTAAGACTGCGGGGAAAGCTTTCCAATTTCCCTCGCGCTGGGTTTTAAGGTAAGAGAATATACCATATCGGAAAAAAAGACTTTAAAAAGCACTTTGGCTTATTCCCAGCCAGTAGCGCAAGCTCTGGGATGCGAATGTGAGAGCTGAATTCACAGACAGATCTCTTTTGTGTTCTACTGCATTGCAGTTTAAAACAGTGAAAGCGCGAGAGGAGCCTGCGCTCCGCAGCATCTCAATGAGCCGGACAAAGTCGTTTAAACTGCTCAGATTTGACTCTCGTTTACTCCTAAATGGCACAGTGGATCATTATTGTCCGTAAAAGAGCTGTAAAGACTTATCGCCGATGCTGAGCTCTGCACAAAGTGGATGTTTTATTTTATCGTGTTGAAAACGTGACCGGAGAACTGAAAGACTGTGGGACAAAATAAGATTTTGCCGAAGGAAGCCTTCATAAAAATTAATCAGTGGCGATTCTTTCTTGGACCAGAGGAAGCTGCAGATAGAGAGTGAAAGAGAGAGAGGAAGAGAGCGAGAGAGAAAGAGAGAGAGAGAGAGTCATGGGGAGCAGGAGCGTTGGCGCAGTGCACTCCGCGCGCTGCTACCTCGTGCTTATCCTGCAGCTGCTGACTCAGCTCCCGCACGCCGATTCAGCGCTGCGCTACCGCGTGGCGGAAGAGGGGCCGGCCGATGTGCACATTGGTAACGTGGCTTCAGACCTGGGGCTGTCCACCTCTGGGATTGGGACTGGTGATGTCACATTCGCTTTGGAATCTGGCTCTGAATTCTTCAAAATTGACAATGTCACCGGAGAGCTTACTACAGGCAGCAGGAGGATTGACAGAGAGAAGCTGCCACAGTGTCAGATGATTTTTGATGAGAATGAGTGCTTTTTAAACTTTGAGGTGTCAGTCATAGGTCCCCTGCAGAGTTGGGTGGATCTCTTTGATGGCCGAATTGTAGTCACAGACATCAATGACAACACACCCTCTTTCCCTTCACCAGTACTCACACTATCTGTTGAGGAGAATCGTCCAATCGGCACTCTCTATCTTCTTCCCACCGCCACAGACCGCGATTTTGGTCGCAATGGCATAGACCGCTATGAGCTTATCCAAGACAGTAGAGATGGAGGCTCATCATCCCGGCGACCCGCAAATGGTCCAACAAATGGAAACGGTGGTGACAGAAGGAGAGGGCCAGAAACAGGGACAGGGCCTGCCAGCAGGAGCAGTGTGTTTGAGCTGCAGGTGGCTGACACACCTGAAGGACAGAAACAGCCTCAGTTGATTGTGAAAGGGCCTCTGGATCGTGAAGCAAGGGATTCTTATGAACTTGTGCTGCGCGTTCGTGATGGCGGCAACCCGCCTCGTTCCTCACAAGCATTGTTACGTGTGTCTATCACAGATGTTAACGACAACAGTCCACGCTTTGAGAGAGCAGTGTATGAAGCAGAAATGGCAGAAAACGCCCCACCTGGCACACCTGTCCTGCAGGTGCGTGCCACAGACCGCGACGTTGGTGTCAATGGGCAGGTTGAGTATGTTTTCGGAGCAGCAACCGAATCAGTGCGGCGCCTCCTGAGGCTGGATGAAGCTTCAGGTTGGCTGAGTGTTCTGCATCGTATAGACCGTGAGGAAGTTTCACAGTTACGTTTTACAATCACAGCCCGTGACCGCGGGCAACCACCTCGTACTGACCGCACTACAGTCGTTCTTAACGTAAGGGATGAAAATGACAATGTACCCATAGTTGAAATTCGAAAAATTGGACGAATCCTCGTTCGGGACGGTGCTGCAATGGTTCCAGAGAATGTACTGGTTGACACACCGGTAGCCCTAGTGCAGGTGTCAGACCGTGATCAGGGAGAGAATGGTGCGGTGACCTGCACTGTGGTTGGGGATGTTCCATTCACACTGAAACCAGCGGGTGAGACAGCACTAGCGCCTCCACCTGCCACAGATGATGCTTTCGAACGAAATAAAAAGAAATATTTTCTCCACACCTCAGCGCTTTTGGATTATGAAGCTACTCGAGAATATAGTGTTACTATTGTGGCAGTGGACTCAGGTAGCCCGAGCCTTTCTAGTAACAGTTCCCTTCTAGTGCGTGTGGTAGACATAAACGACCATGCTCCCACTTTCGCCCAAAGCTTAGTGGAAGTGCATTTTGCAGAAAATAATGCCCCGGGAGAGCGAGTGGTCACTGTAGTGGCTGCTGATGCAGACAGTGGCAAGAATGCAGAGATTGCATACTCACTCGACCCATCAGTTAATGGAGCTTTTTACATCGATGCCGATAACGGTGATATTCGTGCCACTGGGGCATTAGATAGGGAGCTGAGGGAACGCTATGAATTTCGTGTGATAGCTCGAGATAAGGGGACACCATCTCTGCAGGGCTCTGCTACTGTTGTAGTCCAGGTCACGGACAGGAACGACAATGCCCCCAAATTTGTCCAGGAAGTCTTCACATTCTATGTCAAAGAGAACCTGCTTACCAATAGCCCTGTAGGCATGGTGACTGTTACCGATGCAGATGAAGGAGAGAATGCAGAGTTGAGTCTTTTCGTGGAGCATGATGAAGAGGAGGGTGGAGAGGAGGGCAAAGAAGGGAAGCAAGAAGTTTTCTCAATTGAAAACAACACTGGAACCATTTTCTCCTCTGCATCCTTTGACCGCGAACGACGTAGCACATATTCATTCCGTGTGCGTGCTGTCGATGGTGGAGAACCGCCACGGTCTGCCACCGCCACCGTCTCCCTGTTTGTCACTGATGAAAATGACAATGCGCCATCCATCACATCACCCGCTAATGAATCATACACCCTTCTGCCACCCGCTAGTGGGGCCCGGACTGTGGTCCGCACAGTCTCAGCCTCGGATGGAGACACAGGGTCTAATGCTGACCTGCGCTATGCTCTGGTAGGCGGAAACCCTTTTCGCCTGTTTGAGATTGGCTCCAGTAGTGGGGTCATAACCTTGGCAGAGCCCCTGGAGAGAAGACACAGGGGTCTGCACCGCTTGGTGGTCCGGGTCAATGACAGCGGCATGCCTTCCCTTTGTGCCACAGCACTCGTGCATGTCTTCATCAATGAGAGCTTGGCCAATGCTACGCTAGTGGATGCACAGGTGAGACACAACACCACACCATGCTGTTTGAATAAAAACAAACAAAGAGTAATTCGATATACAGAAACAACAACAGTTTGTGCAGATTAACAACAAGCTTGTGTCATTTTATTTGATGAGAGGGGTTGGAGCAGAGAAGTGCAAGCAGAAATGTACTGATAACTTTTCACAACTAGGAAGTCCTTGCACAAAAGAGCAAATTAAAAAAAAAAAAGATATTGCTGTTTATAAATATTCATGCATTAAATTGCTGTTGACCCATATTGGATATTGGATAGAAGGAAGAACATGCAAATACAAAGATGAAAGATACACAAACACAGTGGCATCCACATACACAGTCACACTTGCCTGCGCAGAATAACTATGATTGAATATCCAAGCCTTGACATGATAATTGAGAAGTCTGGGCCTTGCAGTGGGGATGAATGTGTATGCGTGCGTGTGTGGTTCAGCAGACAGTGCTATAAAATGAGGATGCAGTTATCAAAGGGCAGACACACCATTTATGACTTTCCATATTTTTGCTTTTTCTCTCCCTCTGTATGCCTCTCTCTCACTCACTCAGGTGGCCCGCAGCCTTGCAATCCCCCTCTATATGGATATTGCAGGTGACCCAGACAGCGAGAGAGCTCTTGGTAAACAACGCCTGAGCGTTGCCATCGGTGTCTTGGCTGGTGCTGCTGCCGTTATTCTGGTGATCCTTCTGGTTGTGACAGCTCGACAGTGTGGGGCGCAGGGTAAGAACGGCTATGAGGCTGGCAAGAAGGAGCCAGAAGAGGACTTTTTCGGTCCACAGCCTCCCCCTCTACAAGCCCAGGGCTCCCAAAATGAGCGTGGGCGCAAACCACGCAGAGACAAGCGTAATAATGGCACTGCCAAATCTGAGCGTTCTTTATACAGTGGAATTATGACGGTGAACGGCTGCAGACGTGGGGGAGGTGATGAAGAAGAGGAGGATGAGGAGAGCAGCAGTGCCAGTGAGAGGATTGCTGCCCGTTATTGCGCAGCAGCTAATGGAGACCCTAGTAGTCCAAGACTAGGCTCAAGGCGCCACCAGTCAAGCCCAGATCTGGCCCGCCACTACAAGTCCAGCTCACCCTTGCCTGCAGTGCATCTTCAGCCCAACTCACCACCCGTGGAAGGCAAGAAGCACCAGGCTGTGCAGGAACTGCCCCCCACTAACACCTTCACTGGCAATGGCACCGGTAACGCAGATGCTATGTCACTCAGCTCAGACCAGTGCTCCGATTACGGCTGTCAAACCATCAAGTACAGCAAACAGGTAAGAACATAAAATAATCTCTGACTCAATTTTACTACCTCACCTTCAACATGTATCTGCAGGTCACATTTATTAAGTATTCTAAAATGGCACAAGGCTTGGTTTAGTTTGGCTAGCAAAGGATAACATTTACCAAAAATTCTAAAAGTCTTGTCAGGACAAAAGCCTCAGGCTTAAACTAGATTTGGATCCTGAAACTAACCTGAATTCAGTCAGTCCTGTGGGATATTCCTGTATTATTATAGAAAATGCTGATAGCCATTGGATTACCCCACACATTTTCTTTGAGTACACTGTAATTAGATCTTTCAAGAAAAAAAGATGGCATATGCTGTATGTTTCCTTCTCAGAGAAAAAAAGTGAAAGAGTTTAGTCAATCTGTGAGATAATCAGTGGGTGTGAGAGTAATAACTCACATTTGTTATATACATATGGAGTTGTGAGAAGTAAATGCACATTTTAAGACATAAGACGACATTCGGGATATTTAAGTCACAACATAATTAACAATAAAAATAATTGTGAGAAATTAATTTCATTGAGCATATTGCATTGTAATATCTGATATTGCACTTTGGTACAGCATTTGGGCTCAATCCCAATTGTATTTCTTTAAAAAGCCCATTCCCAGCCACTAGACTTTTCTGACAGGGTATTCCAGTGTCATCGAGTGTCAAAATGTTTTGGGACTATTATACAGATTTATTATTATGGATTATAGATAGCGAAATTTAGCGTTTTTTATTTTAGCATTTTTATTAAAGCATGACGGTAAAATACAAAAACTGTTATTAATGTATTAGACATATGCTTGTTTGTTGTTAAAAATTGTAATAATGTTTGTGTAATAATGTTAATTGTGGCTGGTGTATTCTGGGAATTTTTTTTACCCCGTGGTTTTGATTGTGGTGCTGAAAAATCTCTGTTCAAAGGGGTATGTAGCCCTTCCCCTTAGCCCTACGCCTTCGCCTTCAAGCTAAAGAGAAATAGGTAAGGGAAAGGGCTAAGGGGTAGAATTGGGATTGGGCCTTGGTCTATATTCAGTCAATGATCTTTGTGTTGTTTTGTAATTCTGTGGTGTATTACAGCTGTTTTGCTCCTTGTTGTACTTAAGCACAAATGTAGCAACTTGTCTTATCTTTCTCTACCGTTGTTGTGCCACTGCATGTGGATTGCTTAAGGTTATATGGTGCTAACTGCTTGCTCTCCTTTCCAGGAGTAGCTACTGAAAATAGATTGTCGAAGAGTGGAGAAGTGTAACCCATTTTCGCTCACACCACCATAGATCTCTTTCCACTTGCTCTCTCTCTCTCTCTCTCTCTCCTTCTAACTTGCTTTCTATCATTCTTTCCTTGTATTTTTTACTCCTTTACACATTCTTTCTTTTTTCTGACACATGTTTGGAAGTGTTAAATATAGAGCGGAACATATACCTGCTTTGAGCGGAGACTAGCCAGTGTGTTTGACAGCATGTGTGTGAAAAGCTTGAGAGAGAAACCACGCAGGCCAGCAGAGTTGTCTGTTTTTGACTTAATCTGTCATCTTTACAGTTTTATCCAGGTCATGTATTTAATGCAGCATATCCAAACTGCTGGCTTAGCACTTAACGGAAGCATTAAAAAAAGATTACCTGGACGCCCTTTGACAGGTGCTTTGGACTAAGCCCGAACCAAAGGGTGGCCTCGTGCTATAGAGAGACATGGTTAAATTGAACACTGGCATCGCATTACATTTCCTGACAGGTGTTGGGAGCTTAAACCAAATCCGCGGAGGTCTACATGCAAGATATTGAGTCCTAAATGACATGTCATTTTTGGTCTTTTTAGCATGACTGACAGTCGGATTGTAATTCCCTGTAGCCAGTGCCTAAAAAACAGCTGATGCAGTGGTTAGGGAGATGTGCGCCACGCAAGGCCTAATCAATCCATCCACGCTGGTGTGATCCTGACCGCAGTGGGTGGGTTAATCCAATACCGAGTCAATCCTCTTAATCTGCTAACATTTTTTTTCCTCCCTGAAAATGCTTAATGGAGAATTTTGGTATTTGTGTGCTTCTGCGTGTGCGCTCATGAGTATGAGAGAGCATTAATGCTTACTGGAGAGTTTGTTGGACCCTTTCTGACGGTTTAATCAATTATTGATCACACTGTAATTAACTCCTCTACTGCGGAGCTTTGTGACCTAGCCTAACTCGAGCTCGGTGCAGACGGAGAGTGTATGCGTGCCTTTGGCTGTTGCTTCCATGATGGGATGGTATAGCATGATGGAAAGCCAATACCTTACCACTGTCTGAAATTGCAAGCAGGGTTATTATAGTTAATGAAAACGAACGAAAAAAACGAAAACTAGAATTGAAAAAACATTTTATTTAACTTAAATAAAAATAAAAAAGGAGAGTTTTTTAAAACATTGGAACTAACTGAAACTGTATTGTGTTCATACAAAACTAACTGAAACTAACTAAAATTAGAGCAAAAGCGTCCTTAGTTTTCATCTTTGTAAATGTATTTAATACATACTGTAAGCCTTTTAGGAGTAAATCTATTTACTTCGCCCTACTAGATGTTTGACCCGTTCTGCTGTAATCATGCTGCTATTGGCCAGATCTAGCCAGTCTTCTTTCATTCATCCTCGCTGTTGCTCCCACAACTAAAACAATGGCTGGACATGACAGCAGCACGGTGACACCATTAAATACGAACCGAGTTGACACTTAAATGTATTAATTTAACACATTTGTGCCCAATAATGGGTTTTATTTCTGTATTAGTGATTGCAATCCCAAATGAATCATTCTTTTTAACTGCATCTTCTAAGTGAACCGGTTGAACTAATTCACCAAATTTTGAAACGTCCAATAATGAAGACAAATGATGTTGACATAAGGTTGATTGTAGGTTGTTTTGGAAAGTTACCAGAATCCAACGTCTAATAGATGTCATAGTGGTATCGTCCACACAACGTCAAGGTTGAAGATGATGAGACGTTTATATTTAGTTCATTTTAGGTTAGACATTTGACATTAACGTCGGCCTGATGTTGGGTTCTGACATCAACCGATTTTCATTTTCAAACAAAATCCAACATACCCACGACGCTGGGGTAAGTTGGATACAATGTCAATATGACGTTATGTTGACGTCCTGTGCCTGCAGGGTTGTTTTAAAAAATGTAGCCTTATTTCTTTGATTGAGTTATACAATATTTATTCAGATGATTTTGAATCTTGCACCTAACAAATATCCTTGTTAACAAGAAAAACAACAAGCAAAAAAACAAAAACTTATAAAAAAATAAAACTAAGTAATTACAAAATATTAAAGCTAATCAAAACTAACTGAATTTGAAAACAAAAAATCTAAATGAAATAATAAAATATGGGCGTCACGGTGGCACAGTGGGTGTCATGATCGCCTCACAGCAAGAAGGTCGCTGGTTCGAGCCTCGGCTGGGTCAGTTGGCATTTCTGTGTGGAGTTTGCATGTTCTTCCCATATTTGCGTGGGTTTCCTACCTCCGTGGGTGTGAATGAATGTTTCCATGTGATGGGTTGCAGCTGGAAGGGCATCCGCTGCATAAACATATGCTGTATAAGTTGGCGGTTCATTCCGCTGTGGCGAACCCATAATAATAAAGGGACTAAGCCGAAAAGAAAATGAATGAATGAATGATTGATTGAAATAACAACTAAAGCTAATGAAAAATCTAAAAGTATTATAACCTTGTTTGCATGTCGGCCCGGTGCGCGGACGCATTCATAAAACTGATGAAAATGTAAATCCTGTTGACCTATATCTGTCTCTCTCCAACCCATCCTCTAGAAATGCACAACTCAGCATGTTCCTAAGTGAAACTCCGAACTCTCTCTCTCTTTTTATTTTGCTGTAGCACACTTTTTCTATAGCACCTCCCACTTCCGCCCACTAATGTCGACACCTATCGACCGGTTGTATCCTGTCCCCCGCAGCGGCACACTGTCCTATCTTTTGAATAGACACCGTGGCAATCAATATACTAGGCTTGTTAACGTTCCGACGCACGCTTCCAGACACCCCACTCAGGTGTGCGGGGTTAACGGTCAGACAGGTGGGCATTAGGTGAGTCTGTGTAACTCAACACACACATTCGGGATCAGACAACAGGTCAGATGGATAGCCGATATACTTGACACTCACACTTGCATGCTCACGGGGGCCATGCGTACGCTTGTGAGGGCCGACTCTAGAGATGGATATTATAAATTAATGGAGGCCGCTAGTGATGGAGGGCCCAGGAGACAGTGGGAGACACACGGAGGGATAGGAGAGAGAGAAATGAGGGGAGATCGCTAATGCTCACCTTACTTTTGCAGGGCTGTATTGATTTTCATTGGGAAAGCATTATGAAAGCTTTTACATGGACGTGCACTGCAATGGTTATAAAGGATTGTGAATGATGGTGGAAGTGTGTGTGTGTGCGTGTGTTTGACCTAGCAATGTTATTGGGAGGAATAATGTCTTGAAGTTTGCTAAATCCGAAGAGGAAAAAATCTAATTTGAGGGACATTGTGAAAAGGAAAAAATGGTTCATTAAGAGACTGAATGATGTTGTTATCCAACTCTAAAAATGGAAACGCTTATTTTAAGGCTGATTTAGAGTTATTAATTAGAATTAATAATGTTAATTTAAGGCCAGCATAAGTCAATCAGCAGTCCTAATTTAGATATTCAATATGGCCTCTCTTTGTTTCTGCATCATTGTTTTCTAATTGCCTTTCGGATCACATTTTATGTCAGACGCTCAATTATAAGTAATTTTGTGCAAATGCAAATACACTTGCAGTAAATAACTTCAGTGCTGTGTACTTCCCATTAAATTGTCTCGGACATCTGTGAAACGTGAGGCTATAAAAATGACAGAGGATGGTTTTCAGTGGCCAAGTGTAACACGCTGAAAAATGAGAGGTTAATAATTTATAGATGACACATTAGGTTAGTAACACTGATGGCTATGGCCAGATGG